TTTTCCGCTAACTTTGATCATGTGCATGTAAATTTTGGTGCAGATCCGTCGAAAATTGCGGCCGTATATTCGTTACATACACGCACACACATCCTGCCTTTTATAGATAGAGATAACTGTGGATACAAAAACACTCATACTCAGAATAAACAGCTGAAATTTACTGGGCGGATAATGAAGAAAAAGAGGCATGAAGTAATTGAAACTCACATGATATTTCGATGTAAAACGGACAGTGGAAAGCAGCAGGCCAGCGACTGTTTCTTCCCACTCTGTCAACATTATTCGCCATCATTTAAATGGGTATTGCCTGAGGGAATCTGGTTTTGAAAATGTCATGTGTTATTTCCACGACTTGTCCCTCTTTGTGTCAGTGGATGGAATCTGTATTATTGCATTAAAGCAAGTAACACGATTAGCAAAAATAAATTGCAGATTATGTGCTCAAAGGCAATTCGGTGGCACGTATGAAGCCAATTGATATAAGAAAGACAAATGATGTAAATACATTTTATAAATAATTTGAAGAGTCCACAATAGTCACATTAGAGGGAGGACGCCACAACAATTAGGGAGAGAGCGTATGTGAATATAAAAGTATAAAACTATCATGAAATGTATGAGCACATTTCTTCTTCCTTTTCTTCTTCTTCTTCTTCTTCTTCTTATTATTATTATTATTATTATTATTATTATTACCGTTATTATTATTGCTATTATTGCTATTATTGTTATTGTTGCTGTTTAAAATATTTGAAAGATAAAAATGGAGGAAATTGTCTATTCTGAACCGGTGTGCTTCTACTTTAAAACTAAGCAAGGTGTGGTTGGTTAATATATATATATATATATATATATATATATATATATATATATATATATATATATATATATATATATATATATATATATATATATATATATATATATATATATGGTGTTACTTGCTTGGAAAAACCTTAGGTATTTCGGCTTGTTGTAGAGCAAACCATTACCCAAGGAAAATTAGGAAAAAAAAAAAAGCAAGAACCAAGAACATGAAACAGATCCGAAAACAATCGTCCGGAGTTTAAAGTTCACAGAAAAAAAAAAAACTCCAAAAAGAGTAAAGGGAAACTACGTAATATGCTCAATACACGAAGTAGAGCAAACCAAAGATAAACCTAAGGAGCCAGGCAAACCTACCTAGGTTTCGCCTAAACGGATCGTCAGGGCCAGCATTACTCTGACGATCCGTAGGTAGGTTTGCCTGGCTCCCTAGGTTTATCTCTCTATCTCTCTCTCTCTCTCTCTCTCTCTATATATATATATATATATATATATATATATATATATATATATATATATGTGTGTGTGTGTGTGTGTGTGTGTGTGTGTTTGTGTGTGTGTGTGTGTGTGTGTGTGTGTGTGTGTGTACACGATATGATATGATTATTGTAACTTCATGCATTGAAAATGATGTAAATATATCGGTTTAGAATTGAACTAATACACTACCTTTTGTGTTGTAAACGAATACTCGTTGTCACTTTTGTAATGCTCATTGTACTAGAGACTTTGTAATCGCAGATACAACTATAATACGCCGTTGAACAATACTGGTGTCAGACGCCTTCGAATAGCACTCGCACTAATAGTACTTGCTCGATAATACTCACTCGAATAGTAACCCGTTTAGTGATCCGAAAAGAGAAATAATATAGTGAATAGAGTAGAGAATAGCAGTCCGTATAGTAACGATAGACTAGAAACAGTGACTCGAATAGTAATAGAGGATAGACTAGAAATGCGATCAATTAGACGCCACGGTAGCTTCCATATATGCGTTTTCTCTATGGTCACGTGGTCTACTTAATTCAATAATGGAATCGCCTGGTTTTCTCCCTAGAGATCTATGTTGAAACACAATTGTCGGCAGTGACATTTTATTCCTATGTAAATCTACCTACCCCAAAGATACTTACGTTATAGTGTCAGCATTTGCGTAGGACCTGAAACTCTTCCGAAGAAATGAGAAGATAACTTATTCTCAGTGCGTTATGAAGCTCCATACAGCCCTCCTGAGATATTAATTATAAATGCACGTAATGATCATATTATTTAGCCTTTTCAAATGACATTAGCGCAAGTGAATTGAACAGAAACGTAATTTGAAACCAGTCTGCCAATTTAACTTTCAGTGTCGACAAAACATCGCTGTACTGATTAACATGCTGCTAATCACTCTATTGACATTTTCGATTTACATCTTGATTTTATTTTGAACCAGTGTTTTCTATTCAAAATCATTCAAATTTATGATTTTTATATGGATTTTTTCCCTTCTTTTTCATAAATATCGACCAGTTATTCGTATATTTGCCTTGATTATTTAGTAATTTTCACATCTGTAATGGATAATAAATTTATCATCCCCTTTATTATTGAATGAAAATATCAACTGATTAAAGCATATTTATCGTTCAATCAGTTTGAATCGTGACTCTTATGTCAGCTCTTCAATATCATTTTATGTAAAATGTCTATACTTATACAGTTTACATATCACTTATATCTGGTGGGAGTTTATCAGAGATAAAGTCATTGTAAGAATTTCCAATAATTGAACGATATTTTCTGTATTCTTATTCTAATAATTCTTTAATCTGAATGATTCCACTAATTGAGATATTGTCAAATGGACATCATGGTGATGTTTCAATAACAGTATCAGTTATTTTCTCTGATATGGGTGAGATCTGCAGTCCGAGATTCGTCTGACGTTGTGCTGGTCAAACTCTCTGCCTCCGGGCAGAGAGGTTCCCTAGACGAGTCGAAGAGCAGACTCTCGTCTCGAGAAAAAAGATTTCCGACACCATTTTATACTGGGTCTACGAGGAAAATTTGGCCAAACCTTATGGCTCGGATACCCCACATTTAATTCGGCTTTGTGCCACATCTGACCGCTTGGGTCGGTTTTAGATATCCTGATATGGGTTAGATCTGGTGTGGGGTGAGGCTTAAATGTTTTACTGAGCAGTGCCCAAATCAACGTGACCGTTTGCACATATTTATATTGCTTAACAAAGATGGTGGCTTGGAAAAACATCATACCGTCGGACCGTACTTGTCTTGAATTGCTTTAAGAAACATTTAAATGAAATCTGACAAATAGTCGACCGAGCTTTGTCCAGATGAATTTCGACGTGTAACTGTATGGGTCCAAATATCAGACATGGCTCCAAGATGTTGCATGGGCACTGTGACGGACACACACCAGTCAACGGCATCGACCTGCAGGCTAAACTCTGTAAGGATGGACTAAAGTTGTTCCCCGTCGACTCCTGAATAAGAACGTCTATCCACATTCCACCTGTATCAAGAGGCCACCTGCCATTTCCCAGCATCAGAGGCCAACGGTTTTATCTGTGGGCGGAAAGACTTCTCAGATGAAGGACGAGGTATCCTCAGTATCCATGGTCCAAAAGGAAGCAGCAACCACAATTGCAAGGGAAATTGGTGAAAGGTGTTGACCAAAATGGCAAAAACTGCGATAACTGAATAAGTGAATGAACTAATAGTGTGGGCACAAATTGCGACCGAATTGAACCAAATCAAGCATTCCTGGGTCACGTTCGCGACGTATATTCGAATGTATATATCTGCGCCTATAAAAATTAGGTGGTATAGCGAGAACATTTCTTTCGAAATCTTGTGACCATATGTAAAATAAATGCAACTTCGTATTGCTTCACACCACTGATCGAGGGATTAACATAATTCTTACATGCCCCCATATCCTATGGCGTTTAGCATAGCAGTTTATAATAAGAATTGTGAAGCATACAATCGGGAGATTGTCCAAGAAGATTTCAAACCAAGCAGGCTTAAATAGTTTTGGAAGGAAGAAAGTATTATTTAAGATTCTGTTAGTTGTTGGTTCACCAGATTCAAAGGAAGTGGAGAAAGGTAGCACATACCTGACTAAAGATGATTTGATATATAAATGCTTTACCGCCATAAAAAGAGCAGAGAATATAAAAATATATATATATATATATATATATATATATATATATATATATATATATATATATATATATATAAGTAACTATACTCGGTTGGTGAAAGAACCAGGATGACGCAATTCGCAAATATAAATATAACGATACAAATTGGTATTTGGGAATAAAGGGAAAAAAAAAGAAAAGAACTACGAACGTCGAGCAGGGCGAAAAAGGCCGCCCAGTCCCTTAATTTACAGTTAAAAAAAAAAGAAACAAAAAAAAACATTCGATTAAATAAGATAAAACTTAAAATGCTCAATATGCTAAGTAGAGCAGAAAATAAAAAGTTAAAGAGCCAGGAACTACATACCCAGCTTTCGACTAAATGGATCTTCAGGGTAAAACTGGCTTACTTTACCTGATTACCCTGAAAATCCCTTTAAGTTTAGGTGAAACCTAGGTAGGTAGTTCTTGGCTATTTAGAATTTAGGATTAGGATACACACACACACACACACAGACATATATATATATATATATATATATATATATATATATATATATATATATATATAGAGAGAGAGAGAGAGAGAGAGAGAGAGAGAATATAAATACAGGGGGAGGAAGAGCAGAACAGGGCGATGATACAGTTTCTGATTCTGTTACTGAGAGGCAAGAATGGCGAAGACGGTATATTTATGAAATAATGAAATGTAAAGAAAGGTAAAAATGAAAAAAGGAAGATAAAAGAAACAGCAATAAGAGGAGAAAAAAATGAAAAAGTTAGCAAAAAAAAAGAAAATACAAAGAAAGAATAGAAAAAATAACGAAGTACAAGTTTAAAAGCAAACAAAAAAAAGCTAAACATGAACAACGATGAAAAATGAATAAGAATTAAAGAAAGAAAATAAACCGAAAAATATACGCAATAAAAGCATGACAAATAATACGAGAAAATCAATGAAATAAAGAAAGGACTACATATTCTAAGATAAAACTAACAGACTAATAAAGATTAATAAAAAAGAAAATGAAATAAACAATGAAAAACACAAATAAAGAAAAGTTTAACGAAAATAAAAACAATGGAAAAGAAAACTACATGAAAAATGAAAGCGGCAATATATAAAAATCGAATGAAAGACGAAGGAAGAAAAAAAAAAAGAAATAACGAAAAAGATGGGAAGAAAGGAAGTACAGGAGAAATTGAACATGCGAAAAAAATAATAAATGAAAATGAATGAACAAGAATAGAAAAGCAAGAGAAATAAGGAAAGGAAAACGAAAGTAATAAAATAAAGCAAATAAATATGATATAGAATAAAATAATAAGAATAAAAAACAGAAGAATAATTGAAAGAAAAGAAACGAAAGGAAAACTAAAACAAGATAATGGAAAAAAAGAATAATCACATACAATAAAAAAGAATGACAGACAAAAAGTAAGAACACAAAAATGAATAAACGAAAGAAAAATGAAAGCAAGAAAAAAAGAAAACATGATAAAAAATGATAAATTAATAAGAATTTATTAAAAAAAAAAAGAATTAAAAGACATATAACCATCATTAAAATATCACAAAATAACACACGAATACTGTGCTGAAATTCTATAAAATATTTTAAGTATTGTTAAAAATATTCTCGTTATTATCTTCGTCGTGGAATTCTATAATATTTTGTCGAAACCTTTATCAGTTTTCACGACGCACATCATGTATCTTTTTGCATATGATTTATTTTATTTTAATGGAATATAATAGAAAGTTTGTTGAAATCGACAACGAGGTAACAGAAAATGACTTCCAGTGAACAATAAATGAAACATACACGCGAATGTTGTCAAGCAATATAAACCGTACGATGCATTAAATGCAACATAAGTGAATTAAATATTACGAATAATGTGAATAATATGTGCGTAACTCGCATAAAATGAATTCAGCGTATTGCAGAAGAAAATATAACAGCTAGAAAAATGAACTCTTGTTAGCAGAAAAATGAGAGAGTATTCACAAAAATTGGTAACAAACAACCCAACGTTTGTCATAGAATCTAATTCAAGTATAAGACTCGACATACAATAAAACAGTTTTGTCATCAATCATTTTGGAAATAAATGCAATAAAACAAAATGGCTGACACAATCATCACGGCGGATAACAATTACCTTCATCACGTCAAATAAAAGGCATTTAATTAATTTTCCTATTTTAGAATTTTTATACTTCATTTTTTCCTATTTATTCTAACCTTTTTGAAATTGCTGAGATTGAAACACAATTAAATTTTAAATAAGAATTGCCTGAGGAAATCTGGTTTTGAAAATGTCATGCGTTATTTCCACGACTTGTCCCTGTTTGTGTCAGAGGATGGAATCTGTGTTATTGCATTAAAGTAAGTAACATAGCAAAAATAAAAAGTTGCAGATTATGTGCTCAAAGGCAATTCAGTGAAACGTATGAAGGCAGTAGATATAAGCCAAGTGATGTAAATACACTTCATAAATATTTTGATTTAGCATCAACGTATATTAACCATGTTACAAGCACAAGACCAAATATTGCTGCCATAACTGGTCTGGTCCTACTGCCATATATTTCGAGATTCTCGACAAAATTCAACGACGTTCCGTAATCTTATCGTTCTTGACGTGTCATCTCGTATTTCGTCACATTCCCATCGCCATGACGTAGCTTTACTTTGTCTTTTCTATAAATCTTTTGGCTTTTTATTTTTGTTAAAATTTATTGAAACAAAACAAGTTCAGTTGAACATTGATGACAATTCCAGAACAACGTAACTATAAACAATTTTTTTCTAACCTCTGCCAGTCGCAATGATGGAAAAGCATTACCTCGAACCATCGCCAGTGAGACACGTTGCAAGAGCCACTCCGTTTCGCGAGGCTCGTTCCTTAATCGAGACGCCATCGCGCCAATCCTCTGAAGGGACGTCATCGAACAAGGGCCAATAACCCTGGAGTCTCCACTGCCACAGGAGTAAAACAAATCTGTCAGCAAGAGAAGAATATTTAAGTATTTTTTTCATCTCTGCGTCTATAAATATTTGAATATCTCTTGTTTTAATAATCATTTCTTGATAATTCGACTACATGAATTGACGCTTACTACTAGATTTGTCAATAAGCCTGGATGTTTTTTTCTGCTGAATAAGCTACATATAAATCTTATTACAATAGATACTTTTCGCGCCCTTTTCGGCTGCTCGAATTCTATTCCAGTTTCTTGCTTCTCTATCATCCAGGATATTGAAAGGTTTAAATGCAACATTAATTGCCATCTACCGTCTTGGTGAATCCTCTTCTTTTACTCTTATTTCCTTTCACTAAATTCATCTCATTCGCATCCATTGCCAGTATTATCTTACGCCTTATTGGAATTATCGCCACGCTTAGTGTTCAATTAATTTAAAAAAAGACGTCGTGTGTTGGCTAGTTTATTTGCCCTTGATTTTATAAGTTTAATCTCTTAATTCAATTTGGGATTCCTCAAGCATATTTCTTGAGATTTCCATGATTCATGTATGAAAGCCATGCAGAGATATGTTCTTCCTTGTGCCATCTGCTTAGGTTATCTCTTAATTTCTTTTTTGTTAATCATAAGTACTAATAAATTGTCGTATATTTTAAGATATATATATATATATATATATATATATATATATATATATTTACTTTATATGGAAGTGTATACATAATAACCATTTAGAGTCCCTTCAGGATGAAATAGTCTCACAGACTGTTATGGGAACTTACCTGTAACGATAATGGTAACGATAATGGTCTCTTCCTGACACTATAAATACTGCGCCTCGCAAGAGGTATAATGAATGAATGGTGTAACCAGCACCAGTTCATGACTGTTGAACTCTCTGCTTTGGCAGAGAGGAACCCGGACGAAGCTTTGCCAAAGGGCAAGGTTTCGTCCGGGGAGGTAGACAGGCCCTGAACCCGTCTAGGCGGGTTCAAAGGGTATATTAAAGCCAAACTGCTTTTAGCTGTTGCCAACATTGATGGATTCATATTTTTCCTAAACGAACACACCAACATCGTTTGTAATTGTAAACGGAGATGCCAGTCACATTATCTGTGTATATGATCCGACCAACATGCTCACATCCAAGTTGGAACGCATTGAAACAAATTTGAAATTTATTTTAAATTCCAATACCTGTGACTGATTATATTGTTGCAATAGTTTTCTTATAGAGATTTAGTCCTGAAAGAGTTTACAGACAGTATCTACGTTTTAGAAGTTGGTGATAGGATTCGAAATAAAAAAAATGCTATTTTTTTTCGATCATGCTATACAAACATATATACATCTCTAACAAGAATGAAGAGGATAAAACACTCTTTATAACAACAGAAACCGTAAGGTAATATACACGAGAAAGATAGACACGCAGAAATTCCAGGCATCTCTTGGAACTTCTAATATTTTCATACTAAAGTGTGTATATAACCATGCTGTGTGCTTTCTCTCGAGAAGAAATATATCGTTCTTATATTGTTTGAAATTTATCGCAAACAAAAGTGTCGCTTCAAAATTCACAATACAAATACCATGACGAATTTCCAACTATTTCAATGCAACTTGTCTAGTATACTCTGGGATAATTGATGATCACTTAAGCAAACATAATTATTCTTAATTTGACTTCAGTTAATCAGAAGCAAACTTAATTCGAAACAGTTGTATACTGTTACTGTCGCGATAATCTTACTAATGAAAACATAGCGATCAGACTATTTGTTCAACGTGTAAAATGTCCAGGTGTTGAAATGTAAAACTTCTTTCATAATAATAATTATAAAATACAAAATAAAAAAAAATTCTACAGAAATAAATTATTTGACATGGATAAAGTTTATGTTATTATTCAATCTGTAAAACATATATCCCCAATTACTAACTTTAACAGAGTTTAAAACGTGCTATCGACAGAGAAAGTGTATTCTTCAAGTAGGGATCAAGTTTCGTTACGTTCGAATCACAATGATACCAACTGGGAGAAATAGGAAACCATTTCAACTAATTGTAGGATGGGAAAACATGAGCTTTATTGTTTTGAGTGACAACACACCTTGGAAAAGGAAAACACCGAATTCAGACCCGGGGAAGAAACAATAGGAAAAAAAACACCACTATATTTCCCATGAGAATAGGCAAATAATAAGCACATTATTTACATAATTCAGATTATTGTCCTCATCTTTGTCGCCATATTTATTGCAAAGTTTCGGCCGTTCTACGCTCCGGCCTTCTTCAGGTGGTTAGAATGTCGAACTTAACTCACTGGGGTAGACTGTTCTAGTTCCACGTGCCATGTTTAATGGATGTCAGTTATCAGTTATCTCCTGTTAATTTCCCTCTGAAACTTCTCCACTGCCTTAACCAGTTATTGAACTCACACTCTTTGGGTCCTGTCACTGGATCTAACCAACGCCTTTATCCACTGAGCCAATAGTTCGAATAATGTAAATAATGTACATAATACCTCATCTCAGAAATATAGACAAATAATAAGCAATGTCCGCCTGCATCTTGAAAGGACGGGAAGTTAAACAACGCAAAACGTTTATAAATATATATCAAGCGTATATCAATATGTACATGGCCTAATGAATAAAAGCATTTCTTTATTTAAAAAAAAATACGTATTTTCCAACATACTCTTCATGTCTGTTAGTGGAACGTAACTGCAAACATCGAAAAGATTATATATTTTTCTGTAAAATTTTAGATAACATTTCAGCTTATTCATAACGTCAAGCTAGGCACATTGATCGCAAAAAATATATTAAGGCCAATCTTTGCATTAGGATTTTTAAGGGAGACTCTCCCCCTCGAAATAGTATTCGATATATTATCTTCGGGGTGTAGAATTAATTTCAACTTTACCCACCATGACGCAATTGAGTCCGATCTTTTATTGTCGATAAATCCAAAACGGTAGATTTTATCAAATTTCCTCATTATTTTCGAATTAAGCATATACGTTTACACCTAAATGGAACTATTCGCGAAATGTTTATCAGAAACTGGACACGAGGCTTGAGGGGCAAATTACCCTCGCGTTGAAATTATTTCTGTCACCCTTATCTCCGCTCGAATACGCAACCTGGCTGAAGGTTTTTAGACAAGAACGTTCAGCCAGGGGAAACGTATTAGTATCGTTAAAGAGTCTGAACAAAGTGTAAATAAACAGCGAAATTATAATTAAACATATTGGTTCGTTAAAACCATCTCGATAATACATACGACAATTCCAGCTTTCCATGCATTCCAAATATATCAGAATATAATGTTGCGTAGTAAAAAAAAAAAAGTTAATAAGAATTCTTTATCTATCTTTCGCACTTTTCCATCTCATCTATCCAATTATAAATAACTTTTTCCCGCGTATACCTTGTTCTTGTCAATCGCTAATTAGCATATTAATCAATTGCACAAACGTCCTTTTTTTCTTCAAGAG